TCAAACAACTAAGCTCAATGTGTAGATTTTCAAAATCTTTAACATTTGAATGTACAAATAATTGGAATAAACTTACCAACGTTAATGAATTAATATATGGGCATATAAGAGTTTTAAGGGTCACTCTCAAAGATAAGCTTACTCATGAATGAGTCACACTATTGTCGTATTGTTGTGAATTGTAATAATTGCAACTATGTATAACTTTAACTCTATATATGTACTTCATAAGCAAGCTAAGCAGCCAAAAGATGAAAATGAAAGTCCGCTAATTTTGGAAAATATGGGCGTACAATTTATAGGTCAAGTGGGGGGAGGTACCCTTTGGGTGAAGGAATAATTAGTAGGGCCACTAAAGAGTGTGATCACCTTTAATTATATTTAATTCAACTTGAATATATAATTATAATTCAACTACTTTTACATCATCATCTATTACATTTCTTCTCTTATCCAACTTTGACATGATGGCCTAAGCTACCGGCAAAAGCCAAAAGGTCTTCATTACTTCTATCTTCTTATCCAACCTTCTTTATTTTTATTTAATTCCTTGTAAATTTTGATGTTCATTTTGCTTAAATTTAAAATGGATTTACACAATGAACACTCCAATATATGTGGAGAATTAATATTCTATGGACTTAATTGAGTTAATTAATTCCATGATATGTTAATGTTATACTTCATAACACTTACAATCGAATTATCCTAACTTCCTACTATATACAATACGAGTAAATTTTATTTTTATAAATTGAATTATGTTAAATACTCAAATTTTATTTTTATCAACTGAATTATGTTAAAATTCGACTCTTTTCATAATAAGCCGAAAAACTATTGTTATTATACCATATGATAAAAAGCCAAATGAAAATAAAACAGAATAAACTCGATATAGTCTTGTATATTTATGTGTAGGTAAGAAGTGAATATCACATGAGGTGAGAGGATAAGGATAAATCCATGAAGTAGCCTCATAAAAGTTATTGAGCGTACTCTATTTGACTCTTGAGAGCCTAAAGGATGTAAGCTGGATCGGAGAGAGTATCATGGTTTACTAACACATATACATAAGTTCATTAATAGTTAATTATTGAGGCAAATTTGTATATATGCCATAAAAGTTTAATATACGAAATCAGATTCTAACTAAGATTTCGGTAGCAATCAACAAGTTAAATTTTAGGTAGGTCATTCTTTTCCACGTCGTTTATGGTATTAGTAGTATTAATTATCAATTATGTGCATGTTTTGCATGTACATCACTCAAGCAACAAAATGTGCTACATAAAAGAATGATACAAGTATTTTTCATTGGCTCTTCAAAATAACTACAAAATTGAATAGTTCAAGTGACGGCTAAAAAACAAAAGAGAAAATGAAATGAGTATATGCCTAGTAGATTAGGAGCTGGAAAGATAGATAATTGGATCAGCAGAAATAGAAGATTCCCTAAAAAAGAAATAAAGTGATAGTGTTAGTCATAATCCTACTCAGTAAGCATCAGCTATTCAGCTCCATGTCAAAATTGTCAATTGTATCTTCTAAAGTCAATTTTTTATTCAGTAGGACAAAATTATGTTACAGTGTTCCCCATCTAAGTTTATGTAAATATGTTTAAGGCGTGATTGGATTGGGGGCGATGTATAATAGAGTAATAAAAGTCAAACTGTTGAAAAATAAACTTCTCAAGTGTCACCACATGTAAGTGTCCCACATTAGTTGAAGAAGAGAGAGTTAAACACTTTATAAGGCTAAGGGGCTACTCCTTCTATTGTCATATGGTTTTGGGATGGAATCTCCTTTGATGTTGTGAAGTGAACTCTCTATCTTAATTTGCGAGTGCGGCCCACACCCGCGTTTAACACAAACTAACCAATTTAAATGAAAGATTATTGAATGATACTTAGCCTAACTTTTTTGTTTTCTCTTTTAATTTTTGCCCAATTGAGAAGAACATTCAGAAATCTTTTGGTTCTTTGTATGTGGCTGTGTAGTAAGTGCGTAGTATATCAGTTATACAAGTTTTCCTTGGTTTATTTTCTTGCTAATCTTTATTGAGTATGCTAATCTAAGAAGGTCTTACACTCATATCCAATAATAGACGCCGCACATACTTTTGAGTTACGTCTATATATAAATAAATTGGCAATATTATCTATCTTAAATATATACAAATTAAAGTATACTTTAACGAGACATTAATTAAACCGTATCACTACTTTGCCTTAAATTAACTTAAAGATAAGTTTAATTACATTTTCACGAGCCTCTTTGCTTTTGAAGATTACAAAATTAGCTCAAGGATTGTTCTAGCAAACTTTTCCTCATTTACATGCGGCAATCCTTGAGCTGCGTAAATTAGAGGCTGTAAATGCTTAGCTAAATTAAGTAACAATAATATTCATAATTTTTATGTGTAATATATACAAATCGTTTAATATACTATGTGGTAGTTGTTAAGACGTGATGATATCAATGTTTAAAAAATACATACTTCATAAAAAAAAAAAAACTACGAAATACTATTTATAGACAGAATTTGATCAAATACAGTCTTGGTATATTTTAAGAGTTGTGAAAAGAAAGTCCAATTGCACAAATTAGGATAGCATCAAATCCAAAAAGTGAGGCAATGTGAATAATAATAATACTACCTCCGTTACACATTATGTGCAACGATTAGACATTTTTGTTCTCTACTTTATGTCAAATCGTTGCAAATAATATGTAGCGGAGGTAGTAATTATAATGAATTTGAGCATGAGATATTAAGATGAGTAGTGGCACAAGCATGTAGTGCATCAGTGCAGTGCCTGGCATCTTCTAAGCACTACCACTACTGTTTCAGTGTTTCTAAGCATGCATGTCATCAATAATCTAATAATAGTATAATACTGTGAAAATATGAAATTTAAAAACAAGATCTAAGTTTTTTTATGTCAAAAATACATGTGCATTTGAGTATTTGACACAGTTTTGAAAAATTAATTAGATCGAATAATATATGGCAGACTCTAATGGCGAATCTTCGCTTTATAGTCATCGAAGTATATATGTACTACTTAACTACCATACTTTAATAAACCTTAAGCCACTGATCACAAGAAATTTCCTAAGATCTACCAGCCTATAGCATTTTTAAGCAATAAGTGAATGAAAATTTGCCAAAATTACATAGTTGTCTGTGAGAAGGTGTTAATTAATCAAGTTAAAAATTTTACAAGAGAAGAAATTTGATATAGCAAAAGAGAGAGCTCTCAACATCCTCACAAAACACAATGCGGGCATTTAAAAAATTCTTCATCAGTCATTAAGAGAAAGATGAACAATAGAAGTCTAGGACGCTTATATATAGACTAACCAGCTACAAAGTACAAATTTTAGTCGAGTTCTTGTGTGACTTAAAATGAATTTATATGCCGTGAAAGAAGAGGTTGCAAGCTTTTAAAATCTCAAATCTATTTAAAATTTCAAAGGCTGGTCATCTATATCAATGCTCAACCATCTTATAGGCCATAGTTAGATAGGAACTCCCAATCATAACAACTCTATGTTATGACATGGCTTCTTCCTTAAGGTTGGTCAAAATAAGAAGTCAATCGGTCAAATTGGATGCTTAGAAATAGTCAATAAATTCATTTGTGCATTTCTAACCCTATTACACCTATGTGAAGTCAAAAGAGTTACTATTCAATAGTTTGACTATATTTTCAATTGTTTGTGTAACACGATTATATATAATCCCTAGCCCGTAGTTTATTGTAATTTTCTTAACTAGAGTCCATAACTAGGAACGATATGTTTATAAATTGGTGTGCTAATTGCAATTTTTAATAATTGATTATTCTTAAGCATAAAGTTTTTTGGGATGAAAGCGTCAAGGTCTCCCAACTGCCCTTATCGAGTGGGTCAAGTCCAAGAGAATTGTCCCTTTGACTTCTAAAATATGCCCATTTTACTTCTTCATCTTCCATCAAAATATGAGCAACTTGATCAATCTTCTAGACTTCTTTACTTTAATTTTTTTGTAATTGCATTCACAAATCCACATCGATTTTAATGGAACTTTTAGATGTTAATAGAATAATACTCCGTATTACGGAATGGATTATACTTGTTCTTCAAGTGTTTGACTTATAATACTGAGTTATTACCATTAGATAATAAAGACTTTTAATTCTACGGGTAATTCCTTACTTATATTCATTAAGAAGTATTACTATGTATATTCATTAATCCATTAGTAGTAATATATACAATTACGAGTATAAGTAGTATTATTTGTTAGAGACAATTTTACTAGAAATTATTAGTTATGTCTATTATCACAACTTATGCTCCATACCATAATATCATTACATACTTATCTTTAATTGTTACTTCGAATTATTTTATGTACGAAATAAATAATGTAATTTGTATTAAATTTTTATAGATGACTATGATCCAGCTGTCTAGTCTAGTGGGGGTATAGCACTTAAAATCATCAATCATATGGTCCACTCCCAACCACATTAGTTTAATTCGAACCTTAATCATATCCTTAAAATTTTAATCTATTTCTTTTTTGGTTGGGAAGACTTCCTTATCAAGACAACCATTATTTTTCTGTGTCCCATTTTCGTCCCAAAGTCCACTGTACAGGGTCCAACATTTCCAACTCCACTTCCATTTTTATTCAATTCCACAATAATACAGTCTTAATAATAATCATAATATTCCCTGTTCACACAATTAAAAAACAATGGTTAGAAATAAATTAATTAATTAGTAACAAAAATTAATAAAGTTGAACACAAAATACCTCACATATAACGGAGCAGCCGAGTAACACCAACGTAAACGGAGAAGTTTAACGGGACTGAACGGAACGGTACTGAACGATTGAAACGGCGTCATTCACATCACATCCAAATCATAAAACGACGACGTAATTGACGATAATTGAATCTGATTGAATTTGTCAAAAATTAAGTTAGTTCGCTTAAAAAAAATTAAAATTAAAGAAGTCCTTGTTAAACTGTCCAAAAATTCTTGAAGATTTTTTTTTGTTCTTAATTCGATGATCATACTGTAATTATACTGCCATCATACTATACTATTGGTATATATACACAAATTTTCTCAATTTGTCCAATGTCCTTCTGAATTTCTTCTTCTGGAATCATCTTCGATCGCCGGAATCGCGAAACTTCTTCCATCACCGGAAAATCTATAACATTCTGAGAAAATTTCCCCCAAATTTTCCAAAAATTAAAAAACCCTAACCCTAACTCTAATTCAATTGCAAATTTTACGCAACAGACACCATTGATAACCTGCTTTTTCTAGGCTGAAAATCACCTCTTCTTTTTTGTTGATGTGAAGAAGGACGAATCAAAGCAGCCAAAGCTCGTTTCACCAAGTCACCTTCAACAGTTCCGATTCTAACCAACGAGTTCGTCATCGCGGACCGCCGAGCGAAGAGCCGGTTCGACTGGTACGGCTGAACCGAAGCATTCCGGCTCGGAGCATTTTTGTGAAGACTACACCTGAATGAACCGGGATGATTCGTCGGCGAACACATACAGCTCTTCTTCTGACCGGTAGTCGACGGTTGACGTCGCACCGACTGAGTTGAAATCGAACGGTTGGGTGAAACTGAACCGGAATTAAACCGGACCGCTGACGACGGCGATGAACCGGTGGAATACAGGTTGACGCGAGTAGGAGAAGCTGAACGTTGAAGGAAGCTTCGAGAAGTGAAAGTACTCGAGGTTGAAGAAGCAAATACTGAAGCAGAAGACGATGTCGTATTGGAACCGAATCTTCCTGATGGTGAGTGAGACCTTAGGACTGGTCCGCTTGATCTTCTTGCCGCCATTTTTGTTGGTTTTAAGAGAGAGAAAGTGTGAGTCTTTTTTTAGAGAGAGAAAGAGGAGAGGAGAGAGAAATTTTAGTAAGCCGCGGTTCGCTAGCTAATTTGGCAAACCGTGCTTTACTCTAGCCATGTATTTATAGGAAGATGTTAGGGATTTTCTTTTTCCTTTTTTTTAAATGGGTGCTTTTTTTTATTAAATTAAATTAAAATTAGAGGGAAATTGGGTTAGAATTTGTTAGACCTAACTATAGTTGAGTTAGCTAAGCGGTGGGTTAAGGTGAGGATAGGAATATAGGATATTGAAGATGGTGAAGTCTGTGGGCAACAGACGAAACGACATTCGATAATTACGTTTTATTTTAGATTGGAATGCCCACGGATTTTGTCATCACATTCCTTTCAAAATAAAAATACTCGAAAAATGTCTAATCATTATAAATAATATGTAACAGAGGTAGTATGTAATTTAAAGAGGATATTAGGGCATGTTCTCATTGACTGAACTCAGTTGAACTGAACTGAGCTGAACTGAATTGAACTGAAATGAATATCTTATAAGAGAAGGAAATTAGGAGCTGAGTTGAACTGAAATGAAATGAATGTTTTATAAGAGAAGAAAATTAGGAGCAGAGCTGAATTGAACAGAATTGAAATGAATATTTTATAAGAGAAGAAAATTAGGAGTTGAACTGAACTTAACTGAGATGAACTGAACTGAATTGATTGGTTAATATAGTTTAAACTTAATAACTAAGTGTTCGTTTGACATTGCTGTGGTATTCTGTTTTTTGGTTTTTTATTGTATAAAAGTATATGATATATGTCACATAATGAATAAAAAATTATTTAAACCTATGAAAATCATAATGATTTTGAAAACTGACAACAAAAAAGTGGAACACACCTTTTTCTTGTTTCCTGTTTTTGGTTTTTAGTTTTCAAAAAAACAGAAAACTCAAAACCAAAAATGATGGCAAATAATAAGCCCTAATTTATCCGTTTATCGTTTACCTAGCTCAATCCCTTCCTCAAATAGCGTGACAAAAAGTGTGTTATTAAAACACAGAGAAAGCACATTTAAGGGTTTATTATCTACAGCTTAATTTCAGTTCAGTTCATTTTACTTCACTTCCTAATTTTCTTTTTTCATTAACGATTTAGTTCAGTTCAATTCAGCTCCAATCAGTTCACTTTAATTCAGTTCACTTCAGTAAATCAGAACATGTCCTATGTGTAATTGTATGATTTGTATCAATGAAATAGTGATAATATCTTATGTAGAGACTAGAGATAATATGAAAACTTTCTTTTATCAACAAGATAGTTAATAATGTGATGTTAACTTTTCTCAATAACAAATTTTAGGTGTTTAAAATTATAATATGAAGAAAACTTGGTATATATATTCATCAGATCTACCACGTCAATAGGTGTAACTTGTTAGAGATCAAAGATTTTTAACCCAGAATAACCAATACTCGTATATGATTATGTGTGGAGCTTATGCTTTCTACTCGTAGTTTTTACTAGAAAATTTACGTTGATAACTAATGAATGAAGTATTGTACAAATATCACATTGGCTGAATAATTAATTAGCTAGGCAAGATAATTATCTACCGCTTTAATCCCTTGCGAAGTATTTTATACTGTATGTAGTGAGTATTTACACGTATTTTCCAATTTTTAAAATAAACAATTTATACAGTATAAATATAGGGATTTGCCAGATTCGAGTGTGGAAGGCCACGTGTGGGAATCTAAGGAGGAAAGAGAATGACAGCGTTCCAGCAGTGTAGGCTACCTTGTACACTTGGATATGATGTGTGACTGCTGCAACTTGTGTGGCCTATCATTTCAGTGGATTTCACTGACATAAAAAAAATAATAAAATTCCCAGAAAAAATCAATTTTATTTTACTCTTTCGTTTTTTTAAATGCATTTTAACTTTTGTATTATTTACGTACCATACTACGAGTATAAGTGACTAAATTTTTTCACTCTATAAAATAAATAAATGTTATTATGTAATATTCTATATATCACTAGATTAGTCATAATGTCTAATTTACAATATAACTTTGCTGTATAAATTTTACAAATAGTCAATTAAAGATATTAATAGTCAAAATTACGTCTCGCCAAATGTACGAATAAAATTGATGTATTTTTTTAAATAATAAATAGTACTCCGTATAACTGTATTTAATAAAACAAGTAATTTAAATTCCTTATCCTCTATTATCAACATTTTCTTACTACTATACTCAATATCTATTGCTAGATTGCTTGATGTAATTTTACTTGGCAATTTAGGCGACATGAAAGTTGCATTTAAGCTAAGAATTATACTCAAAATGCTATATGATGATCGAATTGATCTTATCGATTATTGCATTGGATGGGATTTTACTATATATTTATATTACATATGATCATATCTATTCTTATACAGTAGTACAAATTAAGATCGCATTATTACAATTCTTGCTTCACATTCAACCAAGCAAAAAGAAGAAAACATATTATTTTAATTCATCAGTGTATAAATATGTTATTAGGTAGTATCCATTATCAATCATGTTTTTACTAAGTATCAAACAACGCTTGGCTGGCTTCAATTTCACAATCATACGTTTGTGGAATTAAACTTAATAAGGCTACTTTTGATACGAGGTGAAATTTCATTCCTTTAGACTTAATAAAGTATTTGATCCAAAAGAAAAGGTAAATTTTTACTTCCAAGTATATATGGGGTATAATATTTAAGAATTCGTCATTTATAACATCTTCTTTTTCCTTTTTCCTTCTTTTTTTTTTTTTTTTGGACAAATCTCCGTACTCTCACAAACTTAAATAATCTTTGGTGATCGATCTTGTTAACAATTATTTCTTATGATTGAAATGGATTAATCTCCCAACTCATCAGTAAAATTTTCTTATATTTATTTAATAGGATCGGAATTCCATGTATATTCTACTCATATTATACACATAAAATTATTATTAGGATCGATTGTAGATAGAGCCTTATAAATCAAACAATCTTGAAAGTTAAATTAAGTGTTCAAGCTAACTTAATAGCCAAAAATATGAATTTATAAAGTACGTGCAAAAATGATGTAGAATAATTGGACCACAAATAAAGCATATAGTATACTTAAGTAACACCTAAAACATCTTATAATTGTATGCATGATTGCCCAATCCCTATAATTTTGGAAAATTCATGAACAATACGAGAAATTTAAAGTCTACGTGACAGCACCTTAATATAGTATTCGAGTTTTCGAATTCATAGGTAAAGAATCATTTTCCAAGAGCCAACCAAACGACTAAGAGATTCCAAAAATCATGTGATGGCTCATATTTCCAAGAACAATTAAACATACATCCCACTCCACAAATCATATAAGGCCACCTTCAATATGCTCCAACTTTATAGTGCCACATGTCCCCAAAATCTTACATACCCATGCCACTACACATGCTCCCTCCCTTTGCTTCCAAATGATGCTTCAATTTACTATTCGTCTATCCCTTATTTTTTTTCCCATACGACTCATAAAGTTTTTACGCCTTGCATAAAATGAGTCATGATACAAATAAAAATAGACGAAAGAAGATTAAAGACTTCTAACTCTAACCATGAATTTTTACTCACATACAAGTAATAACATAGTTATTATATTATAATATTTTGTATCTTGTTAAAACCGTATTGATATGTATTTTTTATAAACAATTTACGGTTTAATGATAGAGAATCGAAGATACGATAGATTAGATAAAGAATGAGTACATGCATGAAAAGAAAACTGAGAGAGTACCTATTATTCACATTCAATATTGTATATATCCAATATAAATAGGGCAATTATACATGTATTTGTCATCCTTGTAGTTAACCACTCGTAATTCATTAGTGCATGGGAAAAAATTAAACACCATTGATTGATAGAGTATTAATTAACAACCTTTGAGAATGTGTTTATCATTTGCAACTAGCCTTTTGACCTGTTCAATGCACGGGTTCTTATTTAGGTTATTTCATATGTAGGTATGTTTTTCAATAGTTGAAACTTTTGATATGAAATACGAAGTAATTGTTTCATTGCTAAAACTTAAAAGGAAAAAAAGAATGAGGATAGAACTGTGGAAAAAGATAAAGGAATTTATTAGATACATATATATACATGAAGATTTTAGGATATGAAATGACATATTGATTTAAGTTATATTTTAAGTCTATTAGTTGAAAAGACAACTTTTATATAATTCAATTCATATGTTTATGTGATGTATATTAATTGGTTCAACTTTATTTTATTATGATGGAAATGAAACACTTCATTTTCTTAATTGAATTTGCAAGTTATAGAATGTATAAAGACTTAAACAAAAAGATCAAAAGGGGTGACATGTGTCATATGTGGTAGTGAGTGACTTGTAATGACATGTGTAATATGAAAAATTATGGTTTGTGTTTTTAAATACTAAGTATAAATTCCATGTTAATACTATATCGTTCCTTAATAGCCATAAGAAGAGCAAATAAATTATTTATACTTTTCCTATTAAGAAGTGCTACATTTTAGGGAAATATATATGGTTAAGTTCAGCCACAAAGTAATTTTTTTTTTTGTAAACGAAGTAGATAGCTTAATGTACTTGTTTATTGTATTGCTAATCAAACAACATTAAAATATTTTATTTTGGTAGATTATTGTATTTCTGTGTTAATTTTCTGTTACCTAACAACTACTAACATTATTTAGAAAATATTATATTAAATAACAATAGGTTGATGATTAACCGTTTAACACCAACATAATGATTCAATATTAAAATTAATGTTCATATTCTTGATCTTGTATAGATTTGAATGGTTTAAAAAAAGTTTCATAATAGAAAAAGCTTGTTAGGTTGTTCCCTATGATTCGAACATTCAGATGCAAATCTTACAAAGAAAAGCACTTGAAGGGGGCCGTTAGTTTCAAAGTCGGCCACAGTTATTATTTAACAAACCATGGGAATTTGGACTACTTGTTATCAACCACTACTACTAGTCATTTTTTTAGCAAAACAACATTATAATTAATACTACGTATTTTGTTTCATTTTTC